TAGGATTACCACGCGTTGCCTACGCATTGGATTACTACGCGTAGGATTACCACGCGTTGCATTACCACACGTTGCATTACTACGCGTTAGATTACCACGCATTAGATTCCTATGCTTAGAATTACCACGCGTTGCATTATTACGCGTTGGATTACTACGCGTAGAATATGCACGCGCTAGATTACTACGCGTTGGATATCCACAAGCTGTATTAGTACGCGTTGGATTACTACGCATTGGATTACTACGCGTAGGATTACAACGCGTTACATTACCACACGTTGTATTACTACGCGTTAGATTACCACGCGTTATCCGAAGCTGTCGCTCTCGCGTCTGCGCATGCGTAATCCTCGCGCTCTGATTGGTCCGTGTTTTCCCTTAATAATTCCAAAACGAAGCTTCAAACCCCATTTTTGCAATGGGAAATCTTATTCAGAATCACGTCAACTACCATTTCAGTGTTATGAAACATTAATATCATAACTATGTATTATATTAACCTAAATTAATATCTTGAGTACCACATCAATACTAATACCACATCATATTAATATAAATTTATATCGTACCATATCATACACTAATACCATAAATATATTAACAAAAATTAATACCGTGATTATACATAAATATCACAAGTATCAAACTAACACATGTAACTCCAATAAATAGGAATAAAGTACGTTGACGTAGAACCGATGGAAAGTTTCAGTACATGCATACAGGTCTGGTAATTATAGTTAAGCATGGCACGCTCGATTAGTCGTTCATCGAGTACTTGTTATCGTAGTTTAGTCACTCGTGTTAAATGGATCTGTTAAGTAATTACGCGAGCTTTCACGTTGTACCATTCGCAGTATCTACTTAGCGACAAAGTGGTACTTTATATGAGACGAAGTTTCCGGTCCGAAGTTTCTTTTTAAGAAAGTATTTGCAAGTATGTCTTTAGCGAGAAACTTTCCACTCGGTAGAATTGAATTTTCCTCCCGTGAACCCGAACCAACACGGGAAAAGGCAGTTTGGTTCCTTGACAGAGAATTAAAATTCACCGAGCTGCGTTTATTGGATAATTCTATTTACACTTTACAGTTTCCGACTTCCGATATTCATCTTTTAATCTCCACATTTCACATATTCGATAATATGCTGATATTATAAACACTTTTAAATTGCTTCATAATATTGTAATTATAATTAATCATTCTATATTTTAAAATTAACTTGTAATTTTATTGTAGGGATTAATACGATGATCAGTTAAATTAATGAAACGATTTGTTTATAATTATGTTCGTAATTACGGACGTGGGATTCAATTAGCAAAATTTCACGTGTAATAATTTCATGGTTTATTATATATCACTTTCAAAATGCTTTTCACAATTTAACACGTTTTGAGATAGTTTTGCAAGGCAATACTTGTGTAGAGAATTGACTGTATAAATATAAGAATCAGTAAGAACTCATATATCCTACATCATATGTCAGATGTATAACATATAACATGTGTGTCATATATGTCATATATGACGCAAGTAACAATAAGAAGCTGCGATTAAAAATCAAATCTTGGTTTTCTCATTCATAACTGACTCGTGTACATTGTACATCGTATGTCATACGTGCAACATATATGTCACATATAACATATGTGTCATATATGCCACAAGAATCAGTAAGAAGCTACGATTAAAAATCAAACCTAAGTTTTCTCCTTCATAACTCGTCTCATACATCATATGTCATGTGTTATACATATATCATATATGCCACATCATATAAGAATCTATCAACAACCTTATTCCACTAATATCGTAAAATGAAAAATCCTATAAAACACATGACAAACTTAATAAAATACATGATAGACCTAATAAAATGATAAATCTAATAACATGATAAACCCTATAAAATAAAAAATCCCATGAAATACAATAAAATAAGAACCACAAAATGAAATGTTAATTTGATTCTGACAATAACGTCGAAAGAAACGTTCAAGTCCTCCAAGGGTTACTCAACAACATTATTACCCGAGGATAACATCCCTCGCACACGTGCCCGCTCGAGCAAGTTTCTCAGACTTCTTGAACGTTTAGCGAAAATGCCTGCAGATTAACCTTCAGTTAGCGTTGTTCCGTTGTAAAAATGATGAGCTCGAGGCGGTAAACTCGCAGAGGGTCTCGCGGTGAAACGCAAGAAACCCTTCGCAGTTTTTGACATAGCGTAATCATGGCCTCCGTCGTTGGCAAGTTGTAAACAACGTCGACACGCTGGAACGACGAGTTTCTGTAGTCGGAAAGTTGAGACGGAAACACGGCCTGTTACGTCGCGTTACGAAAAGGGATGAAACGGTCGGATAAGGAGGTTGAAGGTAGAAAAGGGGTTAACGTTGCCGTATAGTTGCGCGTCTACGGGGCGTCTTAACGTTTTGAAGCACCACCGCTAAATATTCATCACGTCGAAACGTAAGCGCCGAATATCCAGGTTCCGCGGCAGTCAAGGCCCATCCTTGAGCCTCCCTAATCCTCGACGTTTCGTGAGTGGTGGAATTAAAATGGTACTGCGATTCTGCTTCGCGTGCCGTACGCTCCATGGTTTTCATCTCTACACCAGAGACCAAGTTTCCCTATCTCTCTCTTCTGGGTCTTCACGGGGAAAAGAGATCCGTAAACTCGTTCAGAAGTTTGCTCTCCAGGTTTTTTTTTTCAGAGAGAATTCTAGCTTGATCGTGTTTAATGCAAAATTTGGAATTTTAAATTTCAGTTTGTGGGAAACTTGATATGTTTAGGTAGTTAATGAGTTAGCAGATTAATTGGGTTATCAAGGGATCTTA